TTTTTTTTAAATTCTTTGCAATCCTTTTATCAAATGACGTATCTTGTACCCGATAAAAAAGATATAATAATATAAATATAAATATATATATAATTTAGTCCGATTCTGCCCCGAATGGCGATCATGTAATTGCAATCATTTTATCAAATATATCTTATACCCGATAATGATACTTTAATGTATCTAATCAGAGACGTATCAAGCCATAACTGTGTTATATACGCCTCTGATCTAATATATATATTCATTAATGTATAGGCCTTTATAAAAATTAATAGATTTCTGTCCGTTCCTGTAAATCGTCGAACCCCTAGTCACGGCATTTCGGTGATGTTTTCTTCATCAAATCGCATATTTCCAGATAGAATGTGACATATAGAAGTAAATAACTGTGACATTTCACAGTAATAAAGAAGTATTTGGTTCATAACTGGTGCGTATGGGGTAGTATGGGGTAGTATTGGGTAGTATTGGGTCATAGTCACGGCAAATCGGTGATGTTTTCGGCACCAAATCGCATATTTCCCGATAAAATATGGCAGATGGAAGTAAATAACGTCTACAAAGGTGATATTTCACAGTAATAAAGAAGTATTTGGTTCATAACTGGATCGTATGGGGTAGTATTGGGTGGTATTGGGTAGTATTGGGTAATTAGACGCGCCCATCACCTGTTAGCTAGGCATGCAGTCTAAACGTAAACACCCGTCTGGTGAACATATTTTTATGAGCATGAGACAATGACAGAGCAATCGATTACAGAAATGATATTCTTGATCCCATCATTCACATCATATTGATATAATTCTAAACAAACACCAACCTTCGTCTCTGTTTTCGCTGTCTTCTATCCCTAGATTTAAAAGTTGATCCTCCGAAGTACCCGCCATATTGCTTTCCACCCCATCAATTCGGATACACTTCCGTATTTTCATACTAAATAAGATCAACCTAGAGGTATATCGATAGTATTACTTGAACTCAAAATATAGGTCAGGTCATATCGAGATTCCTTCCATAACTACAGCTATATTACTACGCGTCAATTTTCGGAGATAACTGGTCATTTTAGATGATTAAGATAATAAATATATTAATTACCATTTTAAATAGGTCCATTTTCTTCTGTTAAAAAAACAGATTGTATGATGGTTATAAATAACGACGAAAAATATTGAACTACTTGTTGCTAGTGTAGTAGAACTAAACAATAGATCAGTGATTTGGTCAAGAATGGCGTAAACGAAAACATCGGATGCCGAAAGAAGCATTGATTGGATGTTATCGTCATTTGTGTTTTGTAATAATGGAACTGGTGTCGACATTACGGTAAAGCATTGTCAAATTATTTTTTAGAGAACAAGTCTGGTTATTATCTTATCAGTACTGATATTCTTAACTCCTATATAAATCCGATTTATCAAAGAAAATGGCGGCTGCGGGTATCCAAAGTATGGTGGAAACACTTCCAGTGGAGCCAACTATCCAAATAAAATTGCAGATGCCACACCCACCAAAGGGAGTCCCTGGAGCAGGAGGTCCCAGCAAAATGAGGAATAGACTTAGACTAGATCCATCAAGGGCTTTAGAACCGGCCAGGAAAAAGATTGCCACCATAGAAGCACAGAGAGTAATGTCAGTATTTGAGGACACCATCCGCAGGATTGAAATGGTCAGTATCCTACCATATCTGTTGATTAACATCGACAGATTTCGTATTAGTTTGGGCTCCGAACTAGCAGGTCATCTGGAAAATCACCAAGTAATCCAGGAAAGTTACCAAGAAATTAAACAGCAGCTTGATATACAAATAAGACGGAACCGCAAACAGCGCCAGAAAGCTATCTCACGTCCCAGTACAGGGGGTTCTTTTGCTAGTGAAGGAAGGGCTGAAAGTCAATATAGTGGTGGGGATGATACTACAGCTCCGACGATGCCAACAGAGGAGAGCGAGATGCAAGGCGACAAGGGCATGGATGTGTTTGACGAAGATGACGCACAAAGTGATCGTCAGTCCATCTCTCGACAAAGCGATGTATCAAATATTAGTGCAGCCAGCTTTAACAGCACAATCGACCGAACCATGAGGAATTTGAATTTGGTTGCTCAACAACTGAGTACCTCATGCAAAAATATCATACGATGTTTTCAACTCAATACTGCAGCGATGAAGACCATTATGAACCAGGCACACTCTCAGATTCCTACCAGCAATCAGATGCTGATTCAGTACTTAAATGAACTTAGGGAGATACTTCTGAACAAATTACTTACAACTCCAGAAGAAGAGAGCGAACGAATGGATTACATCCAAGAAATTTCCTTGAGGGAGAGGAATAATGCTGCTATCATTGAAAAACTTGAAGAGGAATTGAGAGCAGCTATGGCAGATAAAGACGAAGAGGTAGGTCCTCAATGAACCGAAATTCACAAAATTGGAATCATTAGCAACTCCTTTTGCATGTTGGCATTTTAAGACCAACTCAAAGCTGATCTATATATAATAAAATGTTCTGTGTTACAAATGTATTCTAGTTTATACATGTATGTTTGTATTGGTCTAATGATAATTATTTTGTCAAAATTATTGATGTAATTGCTTAAAATCATGGTTGTAATTGTAATGCTTTGTAAATTTTTCTACTGACAAAATGACATCATTTGCTGTAAGAACTTTTAACTGTTTGAACTTAATTTATGTGTATGTTTGAAATGATACAGATTAAAAAGAAAAACGACGTCATTAGAAGAATCCAGGCCGATCTCCGCCAAATTGAGAAATTTTCTGAAGAAAACATGAAGCGAGTCCAAACTGAAGCCGAGAAACAGGAAGCTGCTGACATCAAGACAAGTGATGGAAAGAAACAGCGGTTACTTCAGGAGCTGCAGCAACTGAAGACCCAGAATCAGAATTTGATAACAGAGCACAGAGAAAGCGAACAGGATTTGAGAAGAGTGTGTATTCTGTACATTGTGTACTAGGCATGGCTAGATATGTAGTAGCACATAGTTTGACCTAAACAAATATTGTGTGTTTCTAGTTTTAGCCTTCAAAAAAATTTCAGCTCATAGGTAGAGGAATATTTTTACTATATTTTCATATTTTATATATTTATAAGGTCATAAAGAACAAATACTTTGACTAGAACAAAATGCTTGACTAAATTTGACACAGGATCTTTAAGGTAGGTTGTGAAAAATCATAAATTATTTAAAATAAATTAATAAAAATAAAATGGTGATGGTAAAGAAACCAGAAACACACAATATGTTTTTCAGGTCTTACCTGTACTGTAGTGGCACTGGGCTGGTCCTTTCTTCCCTCACCCCAACATTCCTTTCACTTTCACAACTTTCTTTTCTTTCCCATTTTCTTTCTATATACCTTTTTTTCTGTTTAGATATCAGCATCATAAAAATTAAAATCCATAAAGTGTTTTAAGGTGAATTAAAATTGTGAATTATATCTATTATCAAACTGGCTTAATTGCATGCTCAACTAAATTGATGACGGAAATAAACATGGATGGACGTTCTAGACATTCTATACATGTTAATATTTTGTTCCTCCGTCCACATATTACATTGATACCTAAGTGTTTATGATACTTAATTTTAAATAGAAAACTTCATGCTGATACTGTCACTGTATAGTATTTGTAGCACCATTTTCTGTTTTAGATCTGTTATTAAAAGTCACTAGCACTTTTTCTATAGTGTATCATGTATTTTAAAACAAACAGTATTTCCCTGTTAAGTTAAATCTAAAAAAAAAGGCTTTTTAACACTGCATGCTTATTAGATAGTAGCAAAAGTGAAATTGAAAAATAGGAAATGATTGAAAAGTGTAAAAAAAAAATGATTCCCTGTAAATGTATTTGACAATGTTTAGTATATTTTTCAGTCTTTCAAAACAAAAATCTTTTAAAAATCATCGCATTTTCATCCCACAGGCTTTGATAAATTGTTAATTTTTTCAGCACTATGAATGGGCTTCATTTTCTACATTCATTTTAATCTTTACATTTCTGAATTGCCTTAGCAATATCTTCAAGGAAGCTGTAGTTTTACATGTACATCAGATTTTGTAAACAAGATATTTGAAAAAATAAAGTTTGTTTATTATATCAAATAAAACCAACTGCTTGTAACCAGTATTTGATTTAATTTTCAAAAACTGTTCTTGAGACTTTTAAATCTGTAATGAGAAATTTCATTATGTTAATTTATTATTTGATTTTAAAAATTATTGACAGATAATTTACATTAAAATCATATTTCATATTTAGAATGAAAGTATCTTACAATGAATACTAATAATTTTCCCCATTAAATATTGTAAGAAATGCACTTTTGTAGAAATTGAATATTTAAATCTTCATCTCAATACTCTGTCAGTAGACTGACTCATCCATTAGGTAAGCTAAAAGAATGGTTGAAATAGTCGTTAATTGTTAATTTTAGAGAAATTTGAAGAGATTAAGTTATTTTCATGTCTTTAAATTTCCTTCAAGATATTCTGGTACACCAAATATTTGTGTGTTTCGGTAAATTTTGTAAAATTAATTTCCTGAAATATCTAATTTATAATATAAAAGCACACATTTTAGTACTCGTTCCTTATTAGTCTATATGTATAGACTTAATTCAAGGAAGCGACACTGATGAACAAATATTTGGTTCATAAAATTTCAGAAATACAGGTTTTATTTCAATATTAGATGGAAAGTACTGTCAAAATCAACCTATGGACTAAAGATTTAGTTGCAGGTACATTTTCAAATGACTTTCACAGAAAATATATTATTTTCACTTTTGGTCTTATCATTCTGACAATGATTTGATCAAAACAAAATGAAATAAGTAGCGATTATTGCAACATTTTATTGCAAAAAAATAGGCAATCTAAGGGGTTCAGCAGTTCATTTTAATTCGTTTCCATTTCATTACAGATATTATTCATCACTTTTATGATTACTATTTTTTTTTAAATCAACAAAATTATAGTATTACAATGTATTCGATTTTTAAAAACAGATTTTCTCCTATGAAAAATGTGAAATATTTTAAAAACATGTCAAAGTCAGATGAGGGTTCAAATGTGTTCTAATTTATTTATTTTTTAAATAGAAGAGTTAAAGTTGCTGATTGGGTAATAAAGGAACATTTTGAAAACATCGCTTGTTTAAAATAAAGCACACAACAAATGCAAGGATAAAAAAATATGTAGTAAAACCATAAACTATTTTGTTTGTCCTGGTTTATATACAAAGTCCTTGTCAGCCAATTTCAGGTACCTAAATTAAAAGATGGTTGTGATAACGCAAGTAGTGTCCAAATGGAGCTCTCAACCCCCAGTGCCACGCCCTCTACCTGTCACTGTACCTAGCCCTGCACTAGTATCTATGTACAGCAGTCTTGCTCACTGCTTGTCCCTTTGGTTCTGTCCTCTGCATGTGGAATCTGGCTCTTCTCTTGCATGCTAATTTCTTTTATTACAACACTTGTACACCTGTAGTTCTATCTGTTTTAGTATTTCAATAGTTTCCACTTCTTTGTTGTCATATATTTGACTGGAAGTATGCATATACTCAATTTCAACTTGTTTTTAAAGGGAACTTCAAGATATTTTTTCTAAGTATGATTTAGATGAATTTCTAAGATTGTGAAACAGTCTTACTGAATTAAATAACAAAACAGTAACAAAAACATCAATGAAAGATTTTTAGAATACTGAACAGAATGTTTATCAAGTAATATAATCATGAAACACTTGGAAGTTCTGCTGTAAAACTGAATTACAGTGTGGGCTTCATATAAGAGTACACTGCTTCAATTAATGTATTATCGTACAGTTGCCAGTGTAATGCTGATTCTCAGTTGATTTTTTAATGTTCTAACCATGTGAGTGACTTTACAGAAAAAGTTCAGGGTGGAGTCCCAGGTGGAGAACTTGATACAAAAGTTTGATGCTGATATGACCGAGAGACAGGTAAGAGAATCCATTGTGGATTAAAGACTGACCAGGGGTGTATATTTCCTCCGAGCCCGTCGCCCACCTAGGACTACTAGTATATTTCATGTTGTTGATGGGGAGAATTTTCAATATCTACTATGAGTTGGTAGATTTTTTCAAGATCTGCATGTGGGTTACGTCTATAAATATATATACCTAGAAATGGTACAACATGACCTATGCTGACATAAAATATAACAGACCCAAATAATGTCTCCAATAATTGCCCATCCCCTAACTTCATGATATGTGGTTGTTTCTTACTGGCCCCTTTTGCGTAAACAGTTCAACTGGTTTGTCTGTTTTTGAATGATACATTTTCAGGTATAAATCCTGGCGGACCTGCAAATGTTAAACTCTGGTCCAGTCCGTTTCACTGTTTGGATTGCGATAAACGAATGTGGCCTGATACTATTCCTTTGATTCCAATAATCACATAACCCCATTATCGTTTTATCATATGTTCTAATACACATGTATACGTTGTCCGATTCCAGCCTTGGGGTAACATATTCCTCGGTATGGGATTTTTAATTCTCAAGCCTCTAATTGAAGGCAGTTAGTACAGAACAGTAGTATTAAATATGTGTGACTTAATTTTCAGGATGAGTATGAAGAGATCGATGCTGAGTACACCAAGGAAAAGAAACAACTACATGAACTGGAAGAGCGCTTCAAGACTCTGGAGGATGAATATCAACAGATCATGGAGGAGCGACGCGTTGCCCGAGAGAAACGCGAGGCTGCTGAGCGTGACATGGCCAATATGGTGAAGTCTGCAACCACCATTCAAGCCTTCTGGAGGTCGTTCAAGGTCAGGAAGGCACTCAAAGGTCGCAAGAAGAAGGGTGGTGGTGGAAAGAAGAAGAAATAGGCACATTGTGATAAAATCAGATTTGATGATTTAATTTAATGATAAAAGTGAAATTTAAAAAGCTGAAATGTATATTACAACTAGCTGATTTTGATTTTTTGATAGTATAACAATTAAAACACTTTTGTCTCTCAAGCTTAAAGTTTCATAAATTGAAAAAATGTTCACTTGGTTAATATTCATAAAACAGTCACTTTCAAATAATACATCAAATGCATGTCCCAAAGGTAGAGTACTGATAACTAGCTACATGGTAAACAGTGTTTATTTCTGTCACCATATTCAAGTGTATCCAGTGACTCTTTTGTTATGCAGGTTGTTCTTAATGTTCTGCCAAATTTTCAGAGGTGTGCAGTTTCAAATTTCAAGTAGAAGCCTGCAGACAAGTTTTTAAATTTCAAGTATTCCAATATATTTTAAGAGAGAACATTTGAAAGTCACTGGTTCCGACATAAAATCAACTACGTGGTAGACAAGTGTCTTAAATTGCACACCTCTGAATTTTTTATTGTATTGTCAACAATTCCATACAAATTTGCACTAGAACTGAAGTTTTTATACATTTGGAAACTTGAATGCTTGTATTTTTTGTTAAGTAAGCTAAGGAATACTATTTCTTGAATTTTGTGCTCTTCCTTTATAAGATGTGTTTGTATTATAAACCGACATGATTTCCAAAACCAAGGATCATGAGATCGTTCTGTTTATATACATGTCAGACTTTACTGGTAGTGTATTAAAACAAGATCCATGTACGGTAGAACAGTGTCGCGTCTTATTAAGTAGGAAAATAATTGAATAGTAAGTAAAACCTGTTACGGTTGTCCTTGTTAATATTACTGACTGTGATAATTTTATTTGTTAATTTTCTTGTAAATATTTACTAGAGATATATATGTATATATATGTGTGTAGACTTAGGTTATATTATGTCTTGAAAGCATAAATGTGATCATGAAATGTCTTTATTATTGTATGATAATACATGTATGTGTCAGATAATTATCATCTTCTGTTGCCTTGAAATATACGATGAATTTCCGCAATTGTTTTGTTCACATACTATTTCTGCTATGTTAAACTAAATACAGTAAGATTTAGATTCAACTAGAGTACCAAGAATTATGAAGTTATCCTTCAAACGTATTTTATGTCAATCCGTCCAAAATGAGTGCTCTCAATAAACTTGACATTTTGTTTCAGTTTTTGAATGGTTGTTATTTCATAAACTCAAAATGCAAAAGACAAAGGTTAGAAAAAATCTTTATTACAAACGAGACAAGTTGTATGATTGCTATTTCTCTACATCTGTAGATTGTACCAAGAAATATTACAGATTTAAGAAAAAAAATACAATAAATAGTGAGGGAATTTGTAGACAGGTAGTTTATACCTATCTTCAAATAATCAATTTACAATTTTACTTACAAAGTTACAACATACTAGTACCCTTGATATTTTAGCATTACACGCATCTTTCACCAAATGAAGACACAGATGATAGCCATTTTTGCTTCAACTTAAAACCACACTATCCCAGTCACAGGATCAAGAAACAGACTTGGGACTTACGTTATTGCCTAGTCAATCATGTATGATGTCACTTTTCATCATGTTATTTGTGATTGGTTAAGTCGAAACTTTGAGACAATTTTAGACTTTAGATCATTTTATGGCCAGAACTTTCAGTAGACCCATAAGAGTATGTTCAACAGCTTTTAAAAGATTTATCAGTTTGGAAAAATGTAATATCAAGTTTTTCTTTATACAAAAATATTGCACGTATTAATTGTATGTATTAAACGTGTATTAGTGTTTCAAGGCCGCCTCTTCAATTTGTAAAGCTGCGACTGTGAGCAATTTGTGTTTACCTATACAACTGAAAAATGTGAGAAAATTGTAAAATTCCGAGTATGTTTCGAGTCCCAACGCTGAGCTTTAACTCATGATTTTGATTGGACAAGGCGATTTGACATGTGTTTTGACCCTTCCAATTTCAAAAGAAATGCATTTTTGATCAAATTCTGAGGAAATTACAAAATGTCATGGGTCAACTGAAAGCTCCGACTACTACCAATGTGTTTTTTTGTCCAGGAATTCAAATCTTTCTTTAAATTCTTGCATGTGAAACAAAAGTTTTATAGAACTATTACTTTATTATCAACCTGGAGCACATTGCATAAATATACACTATATAGCTATATAAATACACATTGTCAATTCATCTGATACCGTTAGCATGACAGTCTAGAGAAAAAACTTTTCTTGCTTTTTCTGTCTGACCTTTCTGGAATATAACCAAACAATGCAGCTTTATCACTCGGAGAAAAGCAACATTTTCTGTCGTCTTTACCACGCTCCGATATCAACTCCAGTCAATGGAGTTAAGATAATCTGCACAGGAGCTATGATTTCCAGACAATCTGCACAGGAGCTTGGATTTCCAGATTGGTTTAAGATCTACTGATTTGGTTCACTGGACGATTTAATTTTCTCCCACTGCTCTGGTGTATAGGTCTTCATAGTAAAAGCATGAATCACCTTCATCTCATCTGCCAAGGTGTTGTTCACTAATCTGGAATTAAAAATTCAAAACATATATATGTAACTGAAGTACAAAAAGTGGTGCCGAGCCTAGCGACAAACAGCATCAAACTGTTACTGTACACTGGTAAATGTTCACCCCGCCAGTGTATCTTTAACCTATTTATAAGGCACGCCAGGTTATGGTGGTGGAGAAAAAGCACAACTGTTCATAGTGACATCTACATAGTAAAACATAACAGTAACGTCATTGTTGGGTTAACAATGTTTGTAAAGGTGTTACAAGTGTAAGATTTGTCTGCATTTTCATAATCAAGCAGCGAGTACAAATGGGATTTTTTTTTTTTTTTATAATTTCATGTTATACCCGATACATGTGTGAAAATTAACACAATGTGATACATGTAGAAACTATATAGGTCATATGATGCGTGTACATGTACTACCAATCTGGAATAAGAATTATCTAAATAGAAGGAATGAACTCATGACACCACTGCAATAGAAAGGACAAAGTCAATAGATTATATGTGTTCTAACAAATTTAGTCAATAGTGAAATAGTTCCATGAAATTACATTTAATACACAACAAAAACGATGAAACAACCGTTTACCTGTTAATTACAATTCGAGATATTTAAATGAGGCAGATAGCAAGATAAAAAGAAAATACAAACTTATACTTTGGCGTATCAGGGGCTACTCACTCAACACTATAAGCTAACTATATACAATACTACAAAAACAAACGTGTACTGACAAGGAAGCCTCCTAAGCAAAGAAAGAGGCCACAAGGAAAAAATATATTCTCAGCAATACAAGGTATATTTAAAGTAGGCCAGACAACTCTTGAGCGATTCAAGAGAGGTCAAGACAGGCCAAATGTAAATATCTAGTGAACATTCTTGAGCGATTCAAGACAGTATACATGTAGATATCTAGAGCAAACCCTTGAGCGATTCAAAAGCTGCATATAAGATACTAATAAGTAGTAAAGAAAACTTTTAAGCGATTTAAAAGCAGAGAGCTCTTGCCTTGAGCAATTCAAGAGAGGCAAACTGACCACCAGACTTAAGCGATTTAAGAGTTGGCAAGACGAAAATCCTGAGCGATTCAAGAGCCTAGTAGTATTAAGAATAGACCGAAAAATTAAAGCAAAAGCAGTAAAATAATCAACAGGTAAGTAAATAATATTACAGAAAAGTATTGGGGGGAAAATTCCCCAGGAATTAAAACCCAAATGGAACGAAACGAGGAATTGGAAATTACTAGTGAGTGAGAGCCCCCAATACTTAATATAAACTAGGCAATAATAACTAAAATTGAAGATTGAGGTATAAAGAACAAGTTAACAAGCACAAAGTAAAACATTAATAGATTTCAGTTGGACAAGGTCATATTTTTTTGTGCATTTGAAATAACGGTAGGATCAGTACGAATATAACGTATATATATAGCAGTTGGAGGGCCATCCACCCAAGGTTTGAATGACATGATCCTCAACGCCAGCAGCCGCTGTGGAGGTGGCAGCACCAACCCGGAAAGAATGACCATTAAAAGATCGATGATCCACACCTATACGAGTCAGTGTTTCTTTTAACAAACAGATAAAGGTATGGCGCATTAAAGGTTTGACGTCAAGGTCAACCACATTGGGCGTATCAGGGGCTACTCACTCAACACTATAAGCTAACTATATACAATACTACAAAAACAAACGCGTACTGACGAGGTAGCCTCCTAAGCAAAGAAAGAGGCCACAAGGAAAGAATATATTCTAACTTTTGATCTAAAATTAATACTGCTGTGTATAAAAGACAACCGTCAAAGTGAGTTTGTCATTTTACATATTTACTAGTACAGTGCTTAATGTGAAAGAAATAGAATTGATCAGTGCAATATGAGAAAGATCTGTTTAGTTCTTCCTTTAGCCATTTTGTTTTTATGATCAGCCTCAAAATATAACATGCACAAGGAGGGATCAAGGGGAACCTACATTTAAAATTTGAGAAAGATCCCTCAAGTTATTCCTGAGAAATAGTACTAACAAACCTTCAATGTCAAAATTCAAAGATGGCTGTTGGTCGGCCATTTTGTTTATGTGATCAGTTTCAAAAGTAAACATGAACAATAAAGGATAAGAAGTGGGGAACTCGCATATAATATTTGAGAAAGAACCCTCCAGTACTTCCTGAGAAATAGCACTAACAATCCTTAACTGTCAAAATCAAAGATTTGTTAATCTGATCAATCTCATAAGAAAATTCGCATAACTTCATACCAAGGGGAACCTTCATTAAAAAATTAAGAAAGATCTCTCGAGTACTTCTTGAGTAATAGCCATAACAAACCTTCACTGTCAAAATCCAAGATGGCTGCCTGTTTGCCATTTTGTTTATCTGATCAGTCTCAAAAGTAAATATGCACAACTGAAAGGACCTAGGGGAACCTACATGTAAGATTTGAGAAAGATCTCTCCACTACTTACTGAGAAAGAGCGATAACAAACTTTCATTTTCAAAATCCAAGATGGCTGCCTGTCGGCCATGTTGTTTATCCAATCAGTCTCAAAAGTTGCCCTGCACAACTAGGGATTAAGGGGAACCTACATCTAAAATTTGAAAAAAGATCCCTCTGGTACTTCCCGGATGCAGGGCGATTTGAAAAGCCCACCATCACATAATGGTGGGCTAAAAAGTTGACACCGGACATAAAGCTTGACTCCATACAATAGGCAGTATAAGCTTCCTTGGTCCTTCGGGTTAGGTGCACTTAATATAATTGGGTCCAAGAAATCATAATTACAGAAGTTCCAGAATGAAATGTACAAGACAATTGATCTCATCCTATTTATATTAATGCTATTAGTTAAGACACCAGCCGTTTCCCATAGGCTACAGATTTTTCCAAAAACACAGAAGTGACCACCTCTACTTTATGTCTGTATCACAATTCATGTATAATTTCAGAATTAATGTACAGTAAAACTTCAATATAATGCCCTTTGATTCATTTGCCACCAACATATTTCAATGTCCCTTTTTCTCATTTTCTTATATTCCTCAATTTATCGCCAAACCCCTTTATAACACTGAAATGTCTCTGGACAAATGATGACAGTATAACGAGGTTTTACTTTATCTTAATATAGCTTGAGTTTCCTCTGGCCCTGACACCAGACAGTGAGACTTAGACATTTTGACAGATAGATGTCTGGAGTCAAAATGTCTAAGTCTGGTGTCAGGGCCTGAGGAAACTCTCGCTAATCTGAATATAATGCTGAAAAAATATGAATTCATGTATTTTATTTTACACAGATTCTGACAATTATATACATATCTAGAAATTAATCAAATGGAAAACAGTTTACCTATGTCTAGCTAGTAACTGTTTGCCTTCAAACTGGGGGGATACAATCACAGCATCAAATTTGGATCCACATCCGTCAGACATATCTTGTATATCCTATAGAAGGAAAAAGAAATTTATAGTAAATTAAATATTGTCGACAAAATACTTCATCGAATCTAAAATGAATAAGATATAATATACAGTCTAATTCTGCACACAGTGTAACGTTAACCTATGATTCATATATACCTATGTGTAAATTGCAGGAATTATGAATTTTAGATACTATATTAGGTAGTCTAACTGTTATACTAGATTTTCTTTAGCTGAGCATGCTTTTTCATGATCAAAAGCTATCTGTATTTTACCACATCTAGTACACAAAGATATACAAAAAGAAGAATTTTTAGTTTTAAAACTCACTGCATGTGTGGCGGCAATTTCTGTCGTCAGCTTCGTCTTCAGATCTTCAGCTGTTATGGCGGTCATCTTAAGTTGCCTCCCCTCTGCCACTGATTGAAGGGAAAACATTCAGTATTAGTGCAGCTACTCCTAAATGGTGAGCGTTTATTATACAGTAAATCATATATGGAGGTAAAAATAGAAATACACTGACTGTATGACATTTAGAAGTAATCAACGCAACATAAAGCTTTCTTCCCTTGTTTTAGTCTTTCAAGTAACGAGGGATTTATAAATCCCAGTGAATGTTCAGGGTATTATACCTAGTGCATGCAAGACCAAAGTGACCCCAAATCAAGAGATAAATGCACACTTCCCAGCACTAAGGTCTGCAGAATGAGTGAGGGTGAAAATTAATCTCACCTTGACAGTCTACAGTAAACTCAATATGCTGTATTTTCACCTGTGCAAGTAGCCCGAGTTTCCACTGGCCCTGACACCAGACTTTGACATTTTGACCGATAGACATCTATCTGGTGTCAGGGCCAGAGGAAACTCAGGCTACTGTGCGAGCTACTTGTAAGAAACTTTTGGCTCAGTCTCACATTGCCTTTAGAAAAAGACACACTCATATTTCCCAGTGATGATTTGGGGAGATATTTTTTGTTTGTTAATCATTGTAAAAATAATACAGTTCTATGGGTAATGGAATTTCAACACTATAAAAATCTAAGCTACAGAGTTATGAAAAAATCTACATAAAGCCATGTGAGTTTTATAAGAAATTTGCTCATTTTTCATGGAAATACTGTAATGCGCCTGTTCAGCAGCTATACCAAAGTGAACAATTTAGGTGAGGAAAGCCAACCCTTCTGTTTCATATGAAGAAATTCTACTGTTCCTAAGAAATTGGTTATGTGTATGTGGAATTTCAAGATAACGAGGGATTTACATTTTTTATACACATCGAGTGTTGTCAGAGGTCTCATCGGGGTGCTGAAATGGTGTTTCCTCATCATCTGGGCAAACACCTCAGACGTCCCTTTTACATAGAGTATTGTGACCCAGCCTTGCATTTGTTTTTTCATTTGCTGTCTTTTCTTTAACAGCAATTCTTACATGCACTTTCTTAAGTGACCGGTCAGGGTAGCCACATCTTGTATGTGCTGCTCCTCCAGTGTGTCTATCATCCTGCTCTGTGATGATGTTGTTGTATCTGTCAAGGAGTGTACATGCGACTCAAAGCTTTTGGTGTAGTGAGTGGTGTGAATTAAAAGCCAAATTCGTTTTGTGTTGGTTTGCGGTACACTAATGTAGTTTGATGGTGCTATTTTCTTGTCGGATGAGGAGCGTGTCCAAGAATGGTATGGATCCATTCTTTTTCTCCTCATGGGCGAATTTAATGGGATTTGTTTCATCAAAGAAGCAATCAAAATCAGGAAAACTCAAAACATGAACAGAGAGGAGGGGGGACACCAGCTTAGTCATCTGTATGACACTATACTGACCTAACGGGAGAGAGTCCGGCTAGATTTTTACCCTTTTTACCCTTACAGTAACCTTTTCATTACAGGGTCCCTTTAAATATACATTTTCTTTCATTCCACTGAGATATATATGTTGACAACATTAAAATGGCACATTAATATGAAACGTTATTTCACAGGTGCGTGTATTTCTGACAGTAAATTGAGAAATCAATCAGCTTATTTAAGCATATATATATATATATAATGAAGAAATACTCCTGTTTTTATATATCGACACTTATACACTAGAATTATCCTTTTTTACAAAATTATACACAGAATCGTAGCTTTAAACCCAACACATATACTCACACCTGTAGACCCCCGCACCAGACAGGTACACCTGTACGCATACAAACACATATCTGCTACAAATGACACCTACAAATACTCATTCTTCCCACACACAGTAACACAATGGAAGCTCCTCCCCTTAGCAGCAGTCCAATGCACAACACTAGAGGACTTCAAGGCACACTTACCCTACACAGCCCTTGAAGCCCTCATCACACACTAGTACATACACCAGATTTTAACTTTTTATCTATACCTTGCACAAAAAAAAACAAAAAAAAAACCCACTCCTAATCACTATAAATAACCCCTTCACGCCTCTACAATAGGACCCCCGATGGCATAATCATCAAACTGATGGAGCCCTCATATAAAGAAGAAGAAGAAAAAGAAGAATAAACATTATAATTTAAACATACGTTCTTGGTAAAAAGGCTTAATTATTTCTCAATTCACAGTATGTATTTCAAACACTGTGGTTCTTTTAAAATAGGTGTGTGAATTACAAAATATATTACATTGAATTGCTATGCAAAAAAAAATCATTGTTCTCGGTTTGTTGCAAAACAGTCCAAAATAGGACAAAAGAAAAATAATTTATGTTTCCTGTGTTGGAATCAGAGGCAGTCACACTGAACTCATGACGTCAAAGACATCCGTAATTATATTGGTGCATTACATTTCTTTGCATTTATACAATAAACTTGAAATTTTACATATAATTAGGTAATGGTATCAACTATTAACAAAAGAAAAAGAAAAATATCCCGAAACGACCCGAAAAAACACGACCTGACACCTTTTTGATGTAGTCAGTTATTTCGGCCTATTCTAAAACACTTAATACTACAGTAGACAATCAAAGACAATACGAGAGAAGGCATAGCAATGACGCTACATTGACCACTCTTGGAAAGCCGAGAGGGTTCCAAGCCCCTTTACAGTCTTTGGTACAGTAGTTCGTCAAAACAGGTGACGTTTGTCATGACCACAGAAAAGAAGCTAAAAAACCAATTGCGTACCGTCTACATGTTACACACACACATATATATATATACAAATGTATGGATTTTTTAATGAAAAATCTTACCTCTGTTGTTCCTGAAACAATCGATCTCACCCAAACGTTCGTTTTATATATTGACCCTATGCGGAAATCATGTAACATTACAGTCCGTCAATGTCGGAAATTAGAACCGCGTGTTCAGTTCCGGATAGGATATAGAACTGGAAAACAAACATCCGGAATGTTCCAAGAAACATTACCTTTTAAAACTTAGTTTACACAATCAAGTTTAATGAGTTTAACATAACGGTAATGTACTATTCTTTGTCGCTGATAATATAACTTAAGTTTCTAAATGTATTTCCTTTGACGGGATGTTAAGTAATAATTAGCTTTCCAGTCAAAACTACAGTCCGAAAATTGGTACGACAACGCGCATTAACGTGAACGTCATTTCCGTAAACATGTTGTGAGTGATGTTTCCACGTGTCTACTTTCGTTTTGAAGTATTTTTTACAATTTGGCTGGTACATTTTGCAGACTCGTGTCTGGGATATAAATCCTGTGGTTTAAATGAACGATGTGTAGGCCCATACTCTGGTTTTTATTGTAAGTATGATGTAGACACGTGCGATGCAGGCGAACTTTGCTTAACCTTTCGGGACTGGAAATTTAACAAACGCAACCTGCTTCTTGAGGAATTTCCGATCGATCCAGTTAGAGATAATTATGTCCGCCTAGTGAGGAACTCAGTGTTTTCAATCACGTCCCCGATTCCTTTACGGTCGAGTCCAGTTCTAGCTGCCATATCTGACGATGTCTTGGTGAATATTTTGGACCTTGACCCAGCTGTCACTCGCAATAGAGAATTCACAGAATTTGTGAGTGGCGGCTTGAACTTGCATGGGGCTGTGCCGTTGACCCATAGATATGGTGGTCACCAGTTTGGAAGCTGGGCGGGTCAGCTTGGGGACGGACGGGCAGTCATGTTGGGAGAGTACGTCAACAAAAAGGGGGAGAGATGGGAACTGCAACTGAAAGGATCTGGACTGACTCCATACTCCCGTCGTGGGGATGGGCGAGCCGTAATACGATCGTCTATTCGCGAGTTTCTGTGTAGCGAGGCTCTCCACTACCTAGGTAAGCATACCGATCTAATTCCATGTAAATTGTCCTAAAAATTATCCCAAAATGATTATTGGACCTCAGCAAGGGTAATGTACTAATGTACTACAAAGTCAGTATGTATATATATATATATACGTCTTTGTATTGTAGAATATCTTAAAGTACATATGATAAGTTGTAATGATCTTTATCCAATCGATTGTCTAAATTTAGTTGACATTAAAATATGTTTAAATAAAAAAGACAATGGTATCTACAGAAGATATTTTTTTTTTAGAAAAATCCCGAAACGACTTTTGACATGTCCTGAAACGATCCGAAAAAAGTCCCGAAACGACTTGTTACCGAAACGACCCGACACCAGACTGAATCATTGGTCATGCCAGAGAATTGTTTACATGATATTCAGTTTTTTGTGGAATTACATCGCAGACTTATTGCTATGATGAGAACGCTACCGGGCCCCCGGGTAAGTCACTGAAATGAGAATACGTACGAGGTTGTCATTTTATTTTCATCACACAGGTGTGCCAACGAGTCGGGCTGCGTCCCTGGTGATCAGTGATGACCCTATCGTACGTGACCAATTCTACGACGGACATCCCCAAACTGAGAGAGCAGCCATCGTGTTACGTGCGTCAAAGTCATGGTTTAGATTCGGATCTCTAGAAATCTTGGCACGAAGCAGAGAGATCGACTTATTGAGACAACTCGCTGACTTTATCATCAAAAAGTATTTTGTAGACATAAAACAACACGGGAATGACAGATACTTGGAGTTGTATAGCGCGATAGTGGAGCAAACCGCCTCAATGATTGCCACTTGGCAAGCTGTTGGGTTCACACACGGGGTCTGTAACACGGACAACTTCAGCATCCTTTCGGTAACCATTGACTACGGACCGTTTGGGTTCCTTGAGGAATACAACCCGGGTTTTGTTCCCAACACCTCTGACGATGAAGGCCGATATAGTTACGAACGACAACCAGATGTTGGATATTACAACCTAGATAAGCTGAGACTGGCTCTGGAGCCATTACTGACAACGGAGCAGGCCAAACAGATGACAACTATACTCAAAGGGTATGTGGACACCTACAAAGCAAAGTTCATGAAACTTTTCAGAAGGAAAATCGGTTTATCGAAGGAAGATGAGGATGACGAGCAGATCATTGCGATATTGCTAAAAATGATGGAGGAAACCAAGACTGATTTTACTATGACATTTCGGCAGTTGTCGGAGACAAACATCAATGACCTTGACACAGCAGTGAGGTCACCTGGTGACCAGGTGTGGGCATTGAAAAAACTAGCCTCTCACGATTGGTTTGTTGCCTGGGTCAAAATGTACATGGCAATGCTTGTGCGTCAGAACGTATCAGAATCAAACAGACAGAGAATCATGAAGTTGACCAACCCGCGCTACGTACTCCGGAACTGGATAGCACAGAGGGCCATAACTAAAGCAGAGCAGAATGACTTCAGTGAGGTGGCCAAAGTGTTAAGAGTATTGGAGAGACCTTTCACAATCCAAGAGGAGGCCGAAGCGGACGGATTCGCCTCCCCTCCTCCACACTGGGCGAGGACGCTCCGAGTCAGCTGCTCATCATGAATAGCACGGACATCACAATTTTTTTCCAAATTATTATAATCGATATAATAAATAGTATATTTTAAATGTGTTCACTTCATTTTAGACGTATGTTTACTTGTGTAGGATTGAGTGCATAGATATCGTTTGATATCAAAGAAACGGAATTGTCAGGTGTCTAAATCGATTGGCGAGTAGCTACACAATACACACTTTAATTAATTGGTTTCCGTGTAATGACTGTTCTTAAAACATTTCTTTTTCAACCAAATTTAGAATGCAGATCATTATTCAAGTACAAAGTACATGTGTAAAGCATATCTCAACACTACATCACATCTACAGTATTGTCCTGAAAGTCGGTTGTGCTTGAATATCATTGTTTTAAAATAGATTAAATGACGGTCCTAGCCCAAAAACTAACCTATTTATTTTTAATCACTTAATGAGTCGGTATCTAGATATGTCTGCCCAATCAAATATGTTAAAAATGAGATAGTTTTTTCGGACTGATGGCGGCCGATAATTACGCATCTTTTACAATGACATATGACGGGGCTACTGGACTCTCATATTGTACATAATTTTCACAGCTGTATAGGACTGATGTTTATATGGAACAACCATCTTATTGTTAATTGCATTTCATTTAACCTACTACAAAACTTGGGTGTAATTGGCGTCCGATTGTCACGCCCTTTCGCAGGATGTCACTGACAGCTATATAGCTACCGCCGGATACAAGATGTCAAAGCGCATTGCAGCAAAGATCACGTGGTTCGTTTGTGTGTTTATTTTCAGTCTCAAGCAAGAAAAGCCATGGTAATATATACATTTATAGGTCATCCTGTCTATCGTAATATACACTTAACCGAAATAATGTACAGGGCCCAGACAAAGGTGATCATATAGATATAGTGAAGCATATTGAACAGTTGATTATTGATTCTTGAGCTGTGTAAGTGAAAGAAACATTATAATTACGAGATACCCGGTGATTAAGGTTAAACAAGCCCATTTAAAGCACAGTGATCTCAGGATTTATTACAGCTATATTTGGACCCGAACTAAAGTGTTCAGAGTAATTTTACATGTTTTAGGGGTTTAGATCGATTTTCGGTAAAAATGACACCCCTATGACTCGTATATATGATAATTGGGGGTGTCATTTTTACAGAAAGTCGATCTAAACCCTTAAAACATGTAATAGCTGTAATCCTATCACAGTGAAAGAAAAGGTATCATATCTCGGGTTTCTAAGTGATCGGGAATCCCCTACCTACAGAGGCTCGTGATCCCTAGACATGACACTTTAGGTACATTAGATGATAATAACTATAACAACAGAGTTGATATGAAATTAAAGTTGAAATAAAACAAAGCAGCAAAAAGTGCCACCACAGACAAGTACTGTTAAGAACAAGATACTCAAGAAGTGCGACCACAGACAAGTACTGTTAAGAACAAGATACTCAAGAAGTGCGACCACAGACAAGTACTGTTAAGAAAAAGATACTCAAGAAATGCGACCACAGACAAGTACTGTTAAGAAAAAGATACTCAAGAAATGCGACCACAGACAAGTACTGTTAAGAACAAGATACTCAAGAAGTGCGCCCACAGACAAGTACTGTTAAGAACAAGATACTCAAGAAGAGCGACCACAGACAAGTACTGTTAAGAACAAGATACTCAAGAAGTGCGACCACAGACAAGTACTGTTAAGAACAAGATACTCAAGAAGACATAATTTAAAAATTTAAAAGTGAACACTTGTGCATATCATACATGCAAGCATTACGTACGACCAAGGTGGAATACACATGCAATGCTAATAAAGCAGAGAGTAAAAAATGACAGTATATGCACTAATATAGTGTGATTTTTTTAGTTTATTACTTTTTTTGTGGAGGAGGGGGAGGGGGAGGAGAGATTTACTGATATACTAGTAAGCCAGTACCGGGGATGTTGTAGTGTCATTGGTCACACACATGTGTGGTTATGTTTTATTTGATAAATCATACTGATTTTGGAAAAGTATTTGTTTATCAGTTAATGTGAAAAAGAATGGAACAAATGTAATTGAATTGGTTTAAGGGGAATTAATTTTCAAATACAAAATTCCATAACAAATTAATGATGTTAGAAATTAAGGGCTGTGGAGCCGACAATGTTTCTCCTACGCTTTTAATGAAAATTATACGTTATGTAGTTTGGTTAACACTACGATAACTATACCTTTCTTTTATGAATGGATAATACTATCACCGACTTTTTTTTAACGGGTGATGGAAAGAACTTGAAGATATTATAAGTTCCAAGATATGATTTATTGCACTTTTTGATTTAGGTCGGTGGACAGATCTGGAGTTCTCCAAAATCATGTCCGTATCGTTCCGTACCCAAATTTTAACTGACTTGCATATGACATTTCAATGATACAGGTAAATACCAGATTGAACATCATATGTCGGTACATACAAGTAGTAGGAAAGTGCCGCGTTTTGGCCAGGGTCATTGAGTGCAGTCTCCTATATAATCCTTACCATCAAGGCTGCTGCTGCTGTTGGGTAAATACAGCATATACCGGCTGCTTCATTATGTCTATGTAGAATGGTGTTTTATATAGGAAAGTCAAATCCAAAAACAACAACAACAACAGCCAGGATGAGCTACTTGACAACAACTACAGCAGCAGCAGCAGCAGCAGCAGCAACCATCCTACATAGACATAATGAAGCAGCCAATATATGTTGTATTTACCCATCAGCAGCAGCAGCAACCATCCCAAAAGCGGCACTTTCCTACTACTCATACACGTGCACGTTCCTTTGTTTCAGTAGATAATACGTTATGTAATGGAATGATAAAACTCGCTAACAGTTCAGTAACGGAAATGAATCTAGTCCCTTTAACTAAGTCGTATTCCAATCATAATGATATCAAAGTTAACAGTTCGATATCCATTCTTGTCTCCAATATAACTCGACCTCAGCATTGTAATGTTTCAGATGAATAGACAACTGTACTGATGCATTATTAAGGATTTCCGCCATACTCTTCCTTCTCTCTGTGCAGTAATAGAATACATATGTGTTCTACTGTTGGATTTGAAGATTATAGAATTATTCTTAAATCAAATGTGTATGTGTTGGACAAAGCAAGCTCTTCGCGGTGCAGAAGCATTGATGTAAATTTATCCTGGAAACAGTTGTGTTCATGACTTTCTTACATCCAGTTTGGATTTGACTTTCCTATATAAAACACATATATACATGTGCTTAGCACCTCCGACATGGCTACTCGTATAATAGTGTTACATGTAACCATGTCAGCATATATGGAAATGGAGTACTCTCTATCACTTCCCTAGATAAAAGCTTTTGTACAGAAAGCATTATTTTATCGTGATATTTATAAATACTTTCTCCTGTTTTAGGGAAGTAATTATTTACAACATCGGTAATTTTACAAGTGTTGCAAACCTCTATCTGACTCCAAAGTGAGGTCACCTCTATCATCGCCCCAATGACCATGATTCTGGCTATTCGTCCATTCATCGGGGATGAGGAGTTTGCTCAATGCAGACATGCGGTTTAGGATCGGATAGATGGTGATGGGATGATTGACGATGCGATGAGTTCTGAAAAGTTGGCTGGATTTGAAGGAACATAGACAGATACCATTTAATGGAGAGCCTATCTCCTCTGAGACAAACCTGTTTAACCTTGTCTGCTGGTCTTCTTCTACACAGGAGAATGCATTCGCCGTCCGTCGTTCATTACTTATATTGGTTAACTTGAGCTCGGATTTTAATATTTATCGCGGTCGTCCTTGTTGATAAATCTCCCGACTTTTGACCGTGAAGTTTGTCTGCTATCAGTTATGAACAAGGGGGTACGTCGACGTCTTACTTTACGTTCAATTCAGACTCCATTAACTCTTTCACAATCTACCGTTTCTTTATTTGGACGCCTTTTTTTGCAAGATTTCTATCGACACATTAACTTCCATGAACCACGTTTCTAGGTCAAATCTGCCAAAATAGGTTACCATTTCTCGCCCAGTCTGATTTAACTTGTCGTCATGGATCGAATTAATCGATTCCTGTTGACTTCGACCCCGTTTTTCGGGCTGATTTGTTTCTCAACAAGGAAAACGTGTCGGTATTATGGATTGATGGAAAGCCTACGACTAGGTCACTGGCCCACACAAGATATTGGAACTGACATGACAGAAATTATCAGTTTTTTCCACGAATGTTTCAGATACTATTATAATAATAAAATTTCAAGACTTGCAAAAACACAAAACAGCATGACAGAGCCTTGGAGTTGGAACAACTATTGGATGTACCATCTCAATCACGGGATAGTATACTTTATTGGGTATTCAATTTGAGCCAGCAACAAACGTTATGTTGAACCGGACAAAGCTAAGAGCAGAGGGGCGTACATAGAACAATCAGTCCGGCAAAAACCATCAAGAGCCTTTGTGGCCGCTGTTGTGAAAACAATAAAATTAAGTGGAACGAAGAAGGACGTTACAAGGTCTGGTTAAGATGAGTCCTGGTTCTGAAGATATAGTCTTCCAAAAATAAGTTTTGGGTTGTTGATAAATTAATCGACTGTTTTTTAAGATTTGTTGCTAGTACATGGATTTTATTCCACTGCAATGTTACTGGTACCAGTCTGGTAAGATTATGAGATATTTTCGCGATAATAAAAATTGACCAAGCAAGTATTTATAACGTATTTATTGCCTGAGGTTGAGTCCGTTTGACTCCATCGATTATTTAGACTTACACAGCAGTTAGGCATACACATTAATAGGATGTTGGGTGTCATTGACGTCATGTATTAGTAACCTTCGGCATCAATATATACGCTGGGATGAAAATAGCATGGCTTATTTGACAAGCAATGCAACAATCCCTTCTTGTTATGTTCTGATAAGTAATATGTTACCCTAAAACAATACCAGGTGCTAAGTAATAAATCAATTAAAGCCTAAATGAACTATTCAGTTCCATTTAATAAACCCGGAAAAAAGGTAAGCGTCCCAGATGTTTTCCTAGTTCTGTATTTGT